AGTCAGGTAGAGTCAGACCGCCCTGATTCACCTCCTTAAATTACTCTTAAAGAACCAGCATAACACTCCTGCCTCTAAAGGCAGCCTTAACGGGCCCTTTACGCTTTCTGTAAAGGCCGAACATGCTTTACGGTCACGGAAATCTTCGAAATCACATTTCTTCCTTCCTATTCTGCCCCCGCCCCTCGCAATAAACAGCTCCACTTCCAGAGTTTACAAAATAAATAAATAAAATGAAAAGTCATTTCCCAGGAAGATTTTTTTCCCCCCCTTTTAAAGTGCCTGGGTCCACACAAACCGAAAAGAAGAGAGAAACGATCAATCTTTTTCTCGAAAGACTTTTGACATCTCGGTCTAACTCACTCAGCAAAGAAATTCGGCTTTTGCAGAAGAGTTACTCAAACCAAGAAAGATTTTAAAAGTTCAATCCAAGGGCCTGCATTCAGGAAGTCTAGAAAGTAAAAATTTCGGGGGCGGGGGGGGGTGGAATAAGCTGCCTGCTGCAGGATGGAAATGTGGCGGGTTTGTAGTTTGTTTGTTCAAGCTCCATTTCTCCCATTTTGCAGCAGCGAGGGACTGGCAGGCGGCATTCACGCAGGGAGAAGCCTAGAAACTTTTGTCAGTTCAAGCATCTGCGTGGGTGGCAAAGGTTTCTGAGAAACACAGGATAAATCTAAAGCCCAGGCCGAAGCGCGGTTTAGCAAAGGGGCGAGCAAAATAAAAAAGCGTTTGCAAAACGCAGCTCGATGGAAGGGAGAATTTCCCTAAATATTCCATATCTGTGAATGCGCTTATTGAAATCGGCACAAATCTACTGAATCGGCAAAGCAGGGCTGATGGAAAAATGAACAGTTCGGTTTCCGATCATTTCTTGCTTGTTTGAAGTGGCATTTTGGGGGTCTCGGGCTTCGTCGTGAGGCCGCCAGTTCTTCCTTTTTGAGGGACGGTGGGGTTGGCTGGGGAGCTGGGATACAGAGAAAGAGTTTGGGATGCACAAGGAAACTCTTTCCAGCTGCTCCCAACTGTTCTCGCTGCCTTTGCTAACACTGAATTTGCAAGGGCGGGGGGGAGGAGGTGGAGGGGAAAAAAAAAGAAAGGAAAAAGAAAAGAAAAATGAACCTCTCGGGGAAAGCAGGATTTTTCCCATGCACCACGCGGAGGCACAAGGGGACAAAAATCTCCCTCCTCGAGGGGAAAGGCATCACCTTGTGCGAGTAAATTCGCAGGGTTAGTGAACGATGGAGAAATGCAGGAATTGCCAGACAACCCCGGGCCTGCTTCTTTAATGCAGATTACACCGTGGGAGTGAGGGGCTGTGGGAGAGGGGAGCCCATCGAGAAGCTGAGAGGTGTCACACTCGGAGCCTCGGAACTGGCTGCCTGTTCCCGATTTTAGCTAGTTCCTGGGAATCCCTGAGACAAAACCAGCAACATGGCGACCGGGATGCGAGACAGAAAATTGTATTCAAGGAGAGGGGGGAAGCCAACGAGAGACCCAAGCCCGACCCAAGCTCTGGTTCCTTGAGCCGATCCCAATCAGAGCCTGCACGCTTTTGTGCTTTTAAATTACAGCATCCCCGAATGGTAAATTGCTCTCTGCATGGACGGGCATAACCCAGCCCCGGACCTGGGGAGAAAAACAAGCCCTGTCTCTCTGTTATACCGTTATTTATTATTGCGCGAAGGTTATAATTATTAACCTGGAACTTCATTTATTAAGAGAGATCAGAGGCAGAGAGAAGCACCAGATCATTTCTCATGTGAAGCTTTCTCCACTCGACCTTTTCGTACGCGTGGGGTTACCGGCTGCTCCGCTGCCCGGCTGAGCACGCAGGTGTGCGGGACCCACAGCCACACACGCACACTCTGCTTCTACAGCCCAGCCCTTTTTTTTTTTGTTTTTTTCCGTACCTTTTCCAGCCTTTTCACCCTTTTCTCCCGGCAGCAATCAAATTCCCCCTCTCCTTCCCCCTGCAGGGGCCCTTCCCCTCTTCAGCAGCCACGGCAGCGGAGCATTTCGAGCCTGACGAGCAGCTCCCCCCCTTCCAGCACCATAAAACTTTTATTGCCCCTCGCTGCTTTCATATAAGTTTTCTTAGGGCTTTAGAGCATAAAAAGCAAATTATTCACGGTATTGCCCCATCTGCTTTTGCTGCTGGCGCAGGGCGAGTCTCCCTTTTGCTTGCACCGATAATGTAACCTTTGGCGGTGGCTTTTTCCCCTCTTAATAAGGATTTTAGGTCTGGGTGTTGGTCTAGGGGGGGGGCTGTGCATGTGTGTGCACGCGTGTGTGCACATGCGCGTGTCTTTTAATAATAATTAATTGCAAGAAGTCGTTTCACGTCTCTTCACTTTTCAGGTCCCCGCGTGGAAACTCTGGGCCCTTCTCTTTTTTTTTGTTTTCCCCCTTTTTTTTCTTTTTTTTCCCTTTTTTCTTTCCCTTTTTTTTTTTCCTTTTTTTTTTTCCTTTTTTTTTTTCCTTTTTGATTATTCCTTTCCCTTTGTTTTCATTCGCGGCCCAATGGCAGCGCGGCCCCGGTGCCACGTGACGCCCTTTGTGGCCGCGCATGGGGTGGCCGCTCTCGGCCCGAACCCCCCGGCCTTCACCCAAGAAGGGGTGGTGGGCAGGGCCCCCACTGCCCAGAGCCTGCCGGGCGGTCCCTTTACCTGCGCACCCTTTGCCGTTTTTTTCCTTCGCACGTTATTTATTTTCGCCTTTAAATCCGAGCGATAGGACAAGATAAAATTGATAACAGAAAGTTTATTCCAGAATTGCTCGACAGACAACCCTTAAGCAAGGAAATAAAATAACTACGATAAGAACAAAGAAAGATCTCCAAAGAGGAGGGGCGAGGTGGGAGGGAGGGATTAGCTATAGTTCTTCTAATTCAGGACTATACAATTACAGTCTGGTTCTGCTCTCATGCCTCCAGTAGAACTAATTACATTATTCATAAGTACGAAGGTAACATAAAACTACCGGTCTTTCTAAATTACAATAACTAAAATAAGCTTGTTGTACAATGACAAGGAAACACAATGTCCTTTATAACAAGTAAATACTAAAAAAGTACAATTTGATTCTTTTTTCCTCATATAAATACATAATATTGGGGATAAATAATACAAAAAAAGGAAAATATTTTAAACTGGCTATAACCAATAAATATATATGAATGTTCACCAGAACACACACCTATTGAAGGACGTCTCGACTGAGCCGGACGAACGCCCTTCAAAGTTGTTTTTATACCCATTATATGTAAACTCTAAGTGCAACAAAGATGTCCAGACAAGAAAGCATTAGCAAATACTAGAGATCCATTCACTTCTGCTTCGATTGGAGGACATTCCGTTTGTTCAAATATACCCTGTTTTCACGTAAGGTCAAGAGAAGAGGAGGAAAGAAGCGTAGGACTTCTAAGTCTTAAGATTGCTTTTCTGTTAACGAACCCTAAGAAAAATACCCCCAAAACAAAAAAACCCAGCGGCGTCAAATGGAGCCTTCACGTCATCAGAGGCAAAGGTGGGAAAATATTCAGACCTGTCAACCCTTTCTTCCTCTCTTTGGACTGCTGTTATTGTTGGTGGGGTCTTTTAGGCTTTTCAAAAACTTGTTTCCCAAACCTTTTGCAATTCTTAGACCTCTCTTATTCTAATTCTTTTTTTTTTTAATCATTATTATTTTTGAGAGGGGAGGCAGGGGC